TCATAGAACTCACAGAGATCTGCCTGTTCTTTCCTCGAAAGCACTGGGATTGAAAGCATGGCCACCACCACCAGGCTGGGCAGTCTTTTTAAAAAAGATGGGTGGAGTGGGCTACTCACAATTAGAAAGTGACCTTGGTTGATAGGCTGCTCACTGAAGCAGCCTTCCTTGTGTGCTCTTTGTTATTGTGACCATTGAAAAAGCCTGTTGACATCTCAGTCCCTTGAATACTTGGAGAATTCAGAATGGCTGTGGACTTGTGAACCAAGTACTCAGTCTTAACTATGGTACTAAAAGTGGGGGTGTGTATACATGTGTGGTTATGTTAATTACGTAGTTCCAAGCAGTTAGGCTCTTAACTACCCCAACCCTTTTCTGGGAAAATTCATTATCTGTAACTTCACTTTCTGCAGTTACAGTTACAGTCAACTGTATTTAGAAAATAGATGGAAAATTCTATATTTTGAGATAGACTATTCATGAGAACACATACACATAGAGTGTGTGTTTTGTTATATAACCCTAGCTGGCCTAGAACTATGTAGACCAGACTGCCTCAAACTTATAGAGATCTACCAGCCTCTGCCTCCCAAATTGTTACTGTTGTTAATCTCTTATTCTAAATTAAATTAAACTTTCTTAGAGCTATATGTATAGGAAGTGTGTATGTATGTGTGTGTGCATATACAATTCAATACCACTTGTGGTTTCAGACTGTTGTGATCCGAGGCTCTGAATCAACCCAAGTAGACACAAGAAGTTACCTCAAGGCAAGATTTAATGCAGGGCAGCACAAAAGAAGCCGGGAAGGGAGGACTGATCCATCAGGGCCACAGAACAGACCCAGGAACTGAACTGTGGCCCGAATGCCGGTTGAAGCAAGTATTTAAGCATAAAAATCATAAACATTTGTTGCCAACTTACAATTACAATTTTTCACCAATCAGAATTCAAAGATTAGGGGCTTCCTTGAATGTTCCATCATTGTCAACTGATATACAATGCAAACATTTCAGTTTGGCCAATCAGATTCATTTGTTCTATCTTTTGTTGGGAACAGCCATATGTTTCTAGAGAACTAAAGATGCGTAATTGACTATTTCTGTGGTTTAAGGAGGAGGTGAGTCAGCTATTGGAGGGTTCCTAGCTCCCCTAGGGCTTAGGAACCTGAACTTTGTTTCACCTTATAGGTAAAATGGTGTCTGAAGTCAAAATAGCAATACTTAGGACAGGGTGCTTTTTGCCTGTTCCCAACAAGACATATACAGGTAGCCTTACAACATTTCTCCTACATGAGGGGAACTTATGTATAGATAAAGGAGCTTTGGTTTAAGCAGGTTTCATTTTGGTTGGTTGGTTCGATTAGCGCTAAGGAGTGAATAAAGGACCTCATACATGCCATGCAAGAGTTTACTATTGAGCTGTGTTCCAACACTGGTTTTTAGCAGTTTGATGGATAATGTTAGAGGAGGAGGTAGAGAAGGAGTGTTTTGTACAACTGAAAGTATTCCTTGATTGTACTCAATAAATTTTTGTCATGTTTGTCCCCTAATAAGATTTATGGAAGAGAAATCTCAGGATCACAAAATCTGTCGCTTACATAGAAAAATGTTTTAGTATGAAGTAATAGAAAAAGCAGTGGATTGGGAGGGATTTCTGGTTTTATTTTCATTGCAGTCACTGTCTGATTTTTATATACAATTCGGTCTCCTGAGGGTTGGTTGGCTCACTCAACTTGATTTCGGCTTTCATGATCCATGATTCTCTGGGTTACCTGTAATTGCTTTTTAATGCAACATAGCTTGCAGCAATGTTTGGAAATAACTGAGACCAATCTTATTTTTCACTTTTTTCTCAACAATGCCATTTTTCTCCATTAATGATTATAACTGTCACTTCTGTGTAAGTCCCTGTTATATATAATATTTTAACTAAATGCTTCATGGCATAATAATTATGTTTTGTGTCTTCTTTCATAGGGTTTTGTATCTTTGCTAAAGTCAGTGATGTGAAAAGACCTGAAATGGGTAAGACTAACTCAAGCAGTCATTCAGCGCTCTTAGTTACTGACTAGTTAGGCTGGTGAGAAAGATCAAGTTTCCCAGTATTTGCTATGTGTGTGTCTTTGTGCACAGTAATAATATCACAAGATCTTGGTCCAAATTAAATACTACTATGTACTCAGTATTATTTTCCTTTGGTTAATACATTGTATACAGAATCATTTAAGGTCACTTTCTTATTCACTGTATTGAAAAAACAAATGCACACTAGCAGTATTTGTTAAGTTTACTCTGTATGTAGTCTAAGTTCTTAACATACCTTAATTCATTTCAGCCATTTTACAAGAATGCCTAAAAGTGTGTATAAAATATACAGGGTTGTACCAACAGTGTATTGTATCAACAAGGAGAATGAGATGCAGGTTAAGAAACCTGCTTAGAGTCTTATGCTCTATACGGCAGAGCTCGAGTCCCTGTCCTTTAGTACTGTGTTGCACTGTCTCCCATAGGATAAGTAATTTGAGTAAGGTAAACATTTTATTTCATGTAGCTAGTGATATTGAAAGTTTGCCATCAGAACATTTCCCTGTTTCATTCACAGTAGTTTATCTGTAAAGGAGCTCAGTGTACAGGCAGGAATAACAGCCAGTTTAGGAATAAGCCGAAATGGTTGCATCCATGATTCTTTTAAATTCACCTTAACCTTTTGTTTACTTTCTACATTTTTGCATTCCCACCCACACACTGTACACTCTCTTCCCTTAGTCTACTCTCTCCCTCTCCTTGTTTGTTTCCATTTTCTCATTGCTGTTATCAGTGTAAGTCATGACTTCTTGAAACTGGTTTAGCTTTTATGGTAAAAATGTTTCTAAAGTAAGATTCTGCCATGCTACTATAGTCATTGAGATGATACTTACTAAGAGCTATATGAATAAATTCTACTTTTTTACAGAAAAATCAAGTGGATTGAGTTTTTAATAGCTGGTGTGTAGGGGAGGGTACATCCCCATGTTGTCTGCCTTATTCCTTTAAGACAGGGACTTTAACTGAATTGGAAGCCTACTGTTTTTGCTAGGTTAGCTGCTGCTCAGTAAGCTCCCAGAACCTGCTTACTCCACAGTGCTAGGTACAGACAAATACAGCCATGTCTAGTTTTTTACATGGGTGCTGGGGATTCAAACTGAGGTTCTTATACCTGTACAGCTAGCATTCCTACTGACTGAGTCATCTTCCCAACTCCTGGCTTCAATTTTCAAGCTCCTTTTTGAGTTAAGATAGGAAATGAACCAGTATGAAGAGAGTTTTTGAATGGTGATGCCCATCCACACAGGGCTTGCCGTGGTGTCCATCTCATGGGTCAACTGGTCTGCCTTTTCAAGCATGGCTCTTTACCCAGTATCCTGTTTTATTAATATTAAATTTATTATACTTAAGACATTAAAAGTTTTCTTTGGGGAAAATTTCATTATTTTAAGCAGTATAAACCAGGCTGCTTTTTATTCCTGTGTAGGTTTTAAGCTACTTGCCAATTCTAGATGGGCCAGTGTCTAAACATGTTAAGAAAGGGGGTTTTATTTGACTGTATAATTCTTCTTTGAGAGTCATTTTTATTAGGTGAAAATATTGGCTCATAGGAAACTATGATTGAAGGATTTGTGTGACTTGATGTAATCTGGACTCTTTCTCTAGACGATACTGCTGACAGTATGAAGATGGATGCTGGAGAAGTCACTTTAGTGAACCATAACTCCACCTTCAAAACCCATCTCCTGCCACAGTCCTGTTTTCCAGAGGACCAGCTCTCACTTTCTGACCAGCAGGTTAGGGATAATTTTTTTTTCATTTAATAAACTGATTGTTTTGTTCATTATAAATATTCATCTGATAACAGTTTGAATGCCACACTAAAAATTCCAAGCATGTGAACTTCTCAGAATAAATAATTTTATTTGGATTTCTGCTTGGTTTAAAATAAGAAAGTTAAGACAAAACAGATGACATATGAATTAAGAATAAGGTTTTTTGAAAGCTCTTCATTGTTCCTCTGGATATTAAACTGTTGACATAGATCTTTGTTCTTTTAAATTAGGTCTTAAAATTACTAAGCATTAGCTTAGGGGAGGGGGATGCACAGTCCTCTGGTGCTTTGGCTGTAATATAATTTGGGGTTTCGAGATCTGACCCAGAACGCACCATGTACATTGCTGGGGGCCTGGTGGAAATGCAGAATCTTTAGCATCTCCCATGGGACAGAAACTATACTGTAAAAGCATCCCAGCTGATTTATATGCATATTAAACAACAGGAACACTGCTGAGAACAGTCTTGGGCCAGAGACATTGCTCAGCAGGTAAAGACACTTAAATTAAAACAAAGAGAATAGTATTGCTCAGTAGAAAAGCCATTGGTAATTTTCATGAGATAATTTGTTGCTGTGTGAATGTGTTTAAGTGGAGAAGGTTAGGCACTGGTCACCTAGAGTCATGTGAGTGTCGCATGTAAGATTGCAATAGTAGTCCTGATAAAAAGTGGTCTGTAAAGTGTTCAAAACCAAGTTGACTTTCTCAGTTTTCATAACATATTATAACTTATCTTCTGATATAATATAGTAAATGCAGATACACCATCCAATGAATGTTCTTTATATTGTAGAGCAGATAGTTACTTCCCTTCTTTCCCCTTAAATCTAAATAATTTCACCAAATTGTCTTTTTCTTGTTAGTATGCAGCTTATTTATAATACAATAGATATATACATAGTGTGTTGAGTTGCACAGTGAATCATAGTCCTGTTTAGTGATGTTTTCCTTAGTGTAGACTTTTATCCTCTTTTATTTTCAAAGTTATGATTTAAGAAAACCATCTTCTGTTTTAGATCCTGCCTTCCAGGCAGGGGACTTTGAACAGACCTTCCACATGTTCTACAAGAAGTGCAACTTATAACCCAGATTATTATTCAGGTATGGCTCATTGCTTGTATTCAAGTCACTGCACACCCTTCACATTTCTTCATAGATATTTCATGTTTACCTATAAAAGTGAAAACAGTATCAGGTATTGAGACATGGCACGGTAGTAGAGGACTTACCTATTGTGCTCAAAGCCCTGGGTTTCCTCCCCAGTACTGCTTAAAAAAAAGGGTAACAGCATGTCAAAAGCAACATGGTCTTTTCCCATTAAAGCATCAATTTAATAAGGTATTCATGTGCACACATTTCGTTGCTATAATAGTTTAGATTTATTGTCAACCAAATACTAATTTTTGAGTGGGAAAGTTTTTTGTAATCTTATCTATTTCATTATACAAAGTAAAATAGTTTTTTATTGTTTTTACTCTGTGTATGTAATACAAAAGGTATTTGTTTCATATTCGTTTAAACCACATGGCTAACTTCTGTTCTTGAAACAATCAAGCCTAAAAATGTATTTCTGCCCAAGTTTGTTCTTCCTTCAGGGAAGGAAATATTAACTACATGTTTCTGTCTAGCACCTGCCACAGCCATATGCTTGTGTATTCAAGGACTTTGCTACTCAACCTGGAACCCAGGATAAAGTTATCATTCTCTAAGTGACTCTTATTCCCTGGCTGGCGGCAGCCTTGTTGTCTGCCTCTTCCTAAGGTTTAGACTTCTGATAGCATTCTGCCTCTGACCTGGATAACTAAGACTTTGCACACTAGTCTCTGGGCACCGTAACTTGGAAGATTACAGTGACCTTCCCAGGTCTTTTCACTCTGTCACTTAAAATACCATTTTACTACAAGTACAAGGATAATAGGAATACCATAGCGCCTGCCTACAGGAGAGGGTTTTTTGTAAGGATAAGCTTATGATAAATATGAAATACATATGCACATAATAATTATTATTATTTGGCTTCCTCAGGATTCTTTGTCAGCAAGATGAGATCTCCTCCCCTAAAAAGACGTTAGTATGATGTTCTTTTAGACTTATATTATATTTAAGTGTGCATTATTTAGGTGGGTGGTACTATACCTTGGGCACTACATTTCCCCTCAGGATGGACAGTGGCCTCTACATAGTATGTGAATGGTAAAAAGGAACTCAGAAAGTAACTCTTTTGTCATTATTATTGAAAAGGGCTTTTTGGTGAACAAAGAAAACTGGTGTGATAGATAGTTGATTATTAATCCTACAGAAAAGAGACAGTTGAGTAGTTAATGAAATCAGATCATTAATATTTCCATTTGAATTACACTCTAGTTGCTTGCTATTTCATATGCCAGTTTACCATTGATAGAATCATTCCATTGGGTTTAAAATAATTGGTTCATAATAAACAGTTGTATAGTATAGAAAATTAGACTTAAACCCCTTGACTAAAAACCAAATCTTATTTAACTCCACTGTCTTTGGCCTCTTCCAACTTATCTCTGCATATATTCGTGGTACACATTATATGATTTGGCACATAAAATCTTTATAACTCCAAGTTTGTAATTTTTGTTTTCTCATGTGTTCTTCCCCATATTTATTATTTTCTGTGTATTTTTAATCTGTGGCATTCTTATGCACAGTCATAATCCCTTATGTGTAGTTTCAAACTCCAAAAGCTCTAAAAACAAAAACCTCTTTTTAAAGATTTGACATTAAAACCTACATAAACTAACATGAAGAGTTTTCTGTTTTGACTTCACTTATCCCTATAAAAAAAAGTGCATACCCATTTTGCTACATGTACCAATATTTGTTTATAGAGTGCTGCACAAGAGTATACTGGCAAGTGTTATATAGAATAACAGATTATTTCTCTAAAATTCCAAGTTTGTAATTCTGACATACAATTGTACCCTGAGGCTTTATGATTTGGGATAAATGCCCAGTGCCTTCATTTGTGTCATCATTATTTTTCCTAGGGCTTAAGTCCACTACACCTTTGCCATTGTTAATTATTCTTTTTTCCCAAGAAAATTTTTTATTAGTTCAAATTAGAAACAAACCTGCTTCACATGTCAATCTCGTCTCCCTCTTCTTCCCCTCCTGCCCCATCCCTCACTAGCCCCCCACCCCATCCTCCCTCTGCTCCCCAGAGAGGGTTAGGTCCTCCATGGGGGATCCCCAAAGTCTGTTATATCCTCCTGGGCAGGGCCTAGGCCCTCCCCCATGTGTCCAGGCTGAGGGAGCATCCCTCCACGTCGAATGGGCTCCCAAAGTCCTTTCTTACGCCAGGGATAAATACTGATCAACTTACTACCTGAGGCCTTATAGAGTGTCGAGGCCTCCTCATTGACATCTACATTCAAGGGGTCTGGATCAATCTCGTGCTGGCCTCCCAGACATCATTCTGGGGTCCATGCGCTCCCCCTTGTTCAGATCAGCTGATTCTGTGGGTTTCACCAGCTCTGTCTTGACCTCTTTGCTCTTCACTCCTTCCTCTCTGCAACTGAGTTCCAGAGTTCAGTTCAGTGTTTAGCTGTGTATGTCTGCCTCTGCTTCTATTAGCCACTGGATGAAGGCTCTGGAATGGCATATAAAGTAGTCATCAGTCTCATTATAGAGAAAGGGCGTTTAGGGTATCCTCTCCACCATTGTTTAGATTGCCAGTTGATGCCATCCTTGTAGATCTCTGGAAATCTCCCTAGAGCCAGATCTCTCCTCGAACCTATACTGGCTCCCTCTGATATGGTATGTCTCATCCTGCTCTCCTCTATTCTTCCCCCCACTCAACCTTGCTGCTCCTCCATGTCCTCCTCTCCCCTCCTTTTCTCCTCTCATTCTCCCAGATCCCTTTCCCCTACCCTCATGCTCCCAATTAGCTCAGGAGATCCTGTCCCCTTCCATTGTTAATTATTAATAACACCACTTAAAAGCATTCAGACAGTTTTTCCCTTAAATTTTAGTTGAACCTTAATAGTGACAACAATATATCTGAGATCACCCCAGATCCTCCTTTTCTTCATTGTGGCATTATTTGACCAAATTCCTGGCTTTCTTCTTAGCCACAAATTAAGAGTTATTACACCTTTCCTGTGTTTATCATCATACCACAAGTTGATCACCATACCAAAAATCTTCCATCAAAGTTTATCTTGTACTTGAAGAAAATAAAAATATTTTGTAATTGTTTTATATACATGAGAGAAGAATAACTGAATAATTAAGTCATGCTGAAGAGGGAATGCTGAACTCTCTGTTATGCTTATTCTCTATATACTATCTATAGCTTGAAACAGGATCTGTTCATCTATCAGATCACCTAGTACTTGATTAAAAAAGCTTATGGCATGCCACAGACCTTACAGTCAGAATTTATATCCAATATACAGATAGAGGGCCCAGAATTTGATCCCTAGCACCAAACAAAAAACAAAGCTACATTTTACCAAGTACTTTAAAACCTTTTTCCTATGCCATACCCATTACGTTAGAAGCCCTGCACAACTTTGTCTCTGCTATCTGCTTACATGCGACTGCATGTAGGTCACTTGTGCCACCTCTGCTGTTTGCCGTACTCAGTCTTCTATCAAGATGAAAATAAAAACAGGGAAGTTCACATTGTAGGATCTAGAGCCTATGATTTATTGTTCTGTTTGAGCTATCTCTCTGGAGAAAGCCTTTCAGAAAGTCTACTCAAACTATAAAAGAAAGTGACTTTTCTGAATTATTTAGAAAACATAAATTCAACACTTTGACTTTAATAGCCAGTCTTATGAAGAGCACACTGGAAAACTTTAGAGTGTTTTTAATCCAAAAGAGCAACCAAAAAAGTAGGTTGAGACAACAAGACTTTTCTGTTGCTTTAAATTTATCAATATGTTTGGAAAATATGTTAAATTGGATTACTAAGCTAATATGTAGTAGGTTTTTGTTCTTTTTGTTTGTTTGTTTGTTTTTGTGTGTGTCCTGCTACTACGGTATCTAATAAACCCCAATGTTAGCAGGACACATTTTTTGTTTTTGTTTTTGTTTTTTTTTTTTTTTCTTTTTCTTTTTGTGTGTGTGTATTTTAGAGAATGGTTTATTATACATTTCAGGGGAGGTGAGCAATGAGCCCCTGAGTAGCGCGAGCACATTCTTGTTTTTTAATACAGCTTATTATGTTCATAAACATATTGCCCATTTCTGCAGAAAACTTGCAAAGAAAAGCACTCAGTCGTTTTATTAGAACATAACCACAATTACATTTTCATTGTATTCTAGTTTGGTATGCAGGTATGAGTATATAATAAATTACCTTGTTTCTGGCTTTTTAACTCTAATTTCTTAGTGATGACAAAATAGCAGGTTAAAATTTTCTTTAAAAAAAAATAAGATTTGCAGCCTGTTATTAGTCCCATGTCCCCACCAGCAATCAGAGGATTCTTCAGTGACACCATTAGCTGGGGCTAGACCACCTGCCTGAGCCCATGCTTCCCCCTCCAGTGAATGCTCTAGGGAAGGCTGTTCTGACTTGTCCTTGATCTCAGATTTCACGTCTATCAAGATTTTTTATATTTTTTAACAGATTTCTTCCTCAAAATATCTTTAGTTAGATAGATCATTTAGCAAGAAGTGCTATTATTTCTGCTGTTACTGCTTTGCATTTAGCATACACTGTTTTCCTGGGTTTCTTACTACAACTCTCGGGCATCTGTCCTTAGAGTAACAGTAGTCACACCGGTTAAGCCCTCTTTACTACAGAGGAAGAAAGTTCTAAAATTTACTTACGTCAGTTGTAAGCCCAAGTGACTGCACTGACTGGTAAATCATTTGATTACTAACAGCACCGAGGATGCCTTTTCTCCCCCTTATCCTGCTTTCATGGTTTACTTAAGGGCCTTCTCTTTTAAGGTTGTGTTATTTGAGTAGAGGGTTAAAAGGCAGACAAGCACGTTGTGTATGTGTGTGTTGAGACTGTGGTTGTCCTGCCTCAGCTTCTCAAACCCTGGGATTGCAGGTGTGTATCACCACACCCACACAAATACTTTCAATAGCATAAATGCATACTTCTGTGCAAAGGTCTGTGTTAATGTCCTTTGAAAGGAACACTTCAGAATATTGTTAGTATAAGACAAAAATTCCAAGACTAGAGAATTATCATTCTTATTTTTTCCACTGAAGCTCCTTGGAATTCCATAGACCAATGTCTGAAGTTATTTTGTTGGAGCTGTTTTAATGTATCTGGGCCTCCTGATAGAGAAAAGAAGGCATAGAAATTATTCTACTACTCCTAGCTAAAACTTAAAGTTTTTGTCATTCTAGTTTATAATCCAGAATTTATAAAATTAAAATAATAAAAACAATCCTCAGTCTGATTGAAGTAGCAAGCATTGGAGTATTGATGATATATATCTAATGATTGTAGCTTTAAGAAACTGAAGATCATACTAGAACCAGAGGTATATAGTGGTCATTCCTGCCATATGCCAGCCAGTATGGGCAGCAGTTAGATCTGTGCTCTGAGAGGTACTCAGAGTCTGGAACATGATAACCACACAGAAGAAAGTGACACCGGCTGCTTATTAAGCAATAATTGTTGTTCATTTGAATTACGATCTCCTCGGCCCTCCACTTGCTTTCTTACTGGTCTGGCCTACCTTCTTTCAGGCCCAGGCCTGGGAGTGCTTGCAAGATATAGTTGGGGTAAAATGTTGACTTTTGGTGGACACCACGGAGTCACATTGATGCAGATAAGGCACATGGCTGTGGCAGGATTCAGCTCCTTCATCAATTTTCAGGTTAGTATGGCTGAATCAATTATAGTTTGTAGAAGTACCCTTGCTACAGATTTATTGGCAGTTGAGACTGGGATCTTTTTTCCATGAGAGACATGGTGATATGCTACATTACTTTGGAATGCAATGATGGAACATGGTTGCAATCATGAAAAGACCTAGATTTGTTTGACTTAATTCAAACTTTTTTATTTTATTTTAGATAACCCTTCCTCAGACAGTTTCCTTGGCTCAAATGACACAAGAACTTTTGGTCAAAGTGCAAATGGACAGTGGAGAAATTCCACTCCAGCATCAGTCTCAACATTACAAAAATCAAGAAATAGCCGAAGTCTTTACCTCGAAACCAGAAAGACCTCAAGGTTAGTTTTTTCTCTACTTATTTCTCAAACCCTTCTTCAGATATAAGAAAAAGGCTATAAGGTTGATGCACGTTAGAATTTTCAATGAGTAATACCATCTTAGGGCTTTAACCCTTAACAAGATATACAAACCCATTTCCTTTGTGTCTCCTGTAAATTATTAGAAGAGACACTTTTGAAGGGAGTCCTGGTGGGTGTAAGTGTTTAGGACTCTTTAGGATGGTGTTCAGATAGCCAGTACAAGTTTTAAAGAGGAAATTAAGTCAGCGTCTGTAGCAGAATCTGCAGCCTTTCACAGGAGCTGACTCGAACCTGCTCCGAAGCTGCACTGGTAACTGCTCTTGTAACTCCTAGGAAAAGGGTCTTAGAGAACCTTACCCCCATTCATGAGCCTCACCTGTTCCTCTGCCAAAGTTATACTGGTCATTAACAGGTACCATTTTTGACAGTGTTGGGAAATCATACTCAGGGAATTGTATATGCTAGCAAGTATTCTACCACTGAGCATCTCTCGCAGTCCATAAATATGTTTATTTTTGTTTGTTTGAGATGAGATCTCATGTAGCCCAGCCTGGACTCCGACTCAGCACATCCATGATGTTGAACTTCTGATCCGATCCTCCTGCCTCTAGCTCCTAGGTCCTGAGATTACAGATGGGCCTGACTCCCGCCCATGTATTAATAAAGTTGTTCTGTAACTTTTTTATTTTTTTAGTCCTTGACATGTTTGACTTTTTATTGAATTACCTATTTTTTTTCATTTTATATACATTCTCTGTATATATCTGAGGAATGTGAGGTCATTTAGTTTCCTGGTTAACCAAGCTGGATTGACTGAAACCAACAGAATGGCTTTTATTTACTTGAAGATTATTATAGCACATGGACTCTGGGAATATATGCTATTGTTCTTGGAGGTCATTTTCACCACTTTTTAAATTTTTAACTATCTAAGAACTAGTACATTTATATTGTAAAAATTAAAATATTGACAACAAAGCAAAAGCCTTTGAACTCCCCACAAGCTCCTTCTCCCATTGTTTTTTCCTTCCAACCCTCTTCCTGTTTCTGTCCATCTTGTGGATAGCAATACTCATATTGTATACTATGCAAAACATGGTTTTTGTCTTCACTAAAGATACTCATGCATTATTAAACAAGCTACTTCTTTAAAATTGATAACACCATACTGTTATTTTTAAATAAAGTTATTATAGAAACAAGACATATCCTTCTTAAAATTTTTTAGAATATCGATAAGCAAAAAAAAAAAAAGTAAAACATCATATTGCTACTACCCTGAGGACAACACGTGTAAAAATCTTTTTCTTTCAAATATCGTTGGTGCCGTTAGATCTTTTCCAAAGATTAGTTCACGCTATGCATATGCATATGCTTTTTTTAAAGTATGAATTTATTAGTAATATGTGATATGTATATGGGTTTGTGTGCCATGGCAGTCATGTGAAGATTAGAGGACAAGTTTGTGGAGTTCATACCTTGTACTTTTACTTGAATTCCAGGGATCATGGGGTCTTTAGGTCATCAGGCTTGTTCAACAAGTACCTTTACTGTTTACACCATTTCTTCAGCCTTTTACAGTGAGTGCATACTCTTCTGTCCTCGGCTTTTTTAGTAGCATTTATGTCTTGTTTTATCCAAACCAATATCCTATGTAGGATTGCACTTGTCAGTTGTCTCCTGTAGTCTAGAATGGCTGGATGCAGGGAGTGTGGGGTTGGTTGATTGTGTTTTAATGGCACGACTTTTTTCCGTATAGTTGCCCTTTTGATTTGATAGGTTATTTCTTCATGGTATCCTTGTTTTATTCTCCATCCCCTGTGCTTTTTGTAAGTTTATTTCTTGACTCAAAGAAATAATGATACTGTGTTATACCACACTAGAAAACAAACACTATCATGTTCCGGGTCTTCTGTCATGGTAGATTGAAATTGGTCTGGTCCCTGATTGTACAGTTAGAGCTGTGATTTGAATATAATCTGAATGTGGCTACTTTGGCATTATGTAAATGAACAATTTTACTTTGTCTAATCCCTTAGTAATTATTGATATCAATTGGAAATCCTTATGTAATGATTTTTAGAGTTAATGAAACCTTTTTTTAATTGTTTTTTCTTATTGGTTGGCACTGTTTTTTTGTTTCTTTTTTTGTTTTTTTGGGTTTTGTTTTGTTTTGTTTTCCCCGTAAGTTGAGACTGTTTGATTACCCTGAAACATTGTCTGTTATGGGAAAGGTAGGATAATTGATTAGTTCTTTTTTTAAATTCCAGTTTTTAAGTTTTTTTAAATGACTACTTCATATAGTTTAAATGAATTTTAATTATTGTGATGAGTTAAATAGGTTTTGAAATTCCCTTTAAGTGTTTGTGTTGTCCTGTTTGGTTTGGTGCTGTGGAGCATGCATCCAGGGTCTCAGTCCTGCTAGGCAGCTGTCTACACTGAGCTGCCCCACCAGCCCTGCTTTTACTGCATGAGTCACCAGGCTGGTCTTGAACTTTTGATTCTCCTGCCATAGCTTCCTAGAAGCTGGACTTAGGGGCCTGGGACGCCAAGCCTATCCTTGTTATTCTTTAATGCTAATATTCTGACAGCTTTGGTTTTGTAACCTAGAATAGCGGGGGGAGGGGGCGGGTATGTGCTTGTTTGCATTTTAATGACATAGCTTTCCTGCCAGGTACCCCTTTGAACTTGCTTCTGGCTCTGGTAGACTCAAGCTCATTAGATATGGGCAGGATACTTGATTCCTGGCATTGCAAAATATCTTTATTTTTATGATTTATTTATTTTGGTTTGTTCATTTTAATGTTGAAAAGACACACTTCGGGAAGCACTGCTACAAAAGACATTGTAGAGAACCCATTTTGTCTTTCCCGGACACTTGCACTACCACTGCTATCTGGTTAGCTGTGTCTTCCCAGCCTAAGAACATAAGCCTGAGCAGAAATCCGGGGTCTCTTGTTCCTTCCTCTACTGTACTATACATTTAACAAAGCCATAGATACTTTTTTTTTTTTTTTTTTGGTTTTTCGAGACAGGGTTTTCCTGTGTAGCTTGGGAGCCTATCCTGGCACTCGCTCTGGAGACCAGGCTGGCCTCGAACTCACAGAGATCCGCCTGCCTCTGCCTCCCGAGTGCTGGGATTAAAGGCGTGCACCACCAACGCCAGGCTAGATTCTTAAAAGTTAAGAGAGTGTATTTGCTTTTTGGTGTTTTCTAGATCTGGTCAGCTCATTTAGATTCAGATTAATTAGAAGAAAAACTTATTTTGGTTAGAGTAACTACCTCAGACTTGCTAGTAATGGCTAATGGAAAGCATCCTGTAAGGAGGGAAAAGCTTAAAACTAGTGAGCTTTAGGTAGACGATTGAGGTTTTGAGTTCACAAAGGTATTTTTTTATGTCAGTTTTCCCACTAGAAAGGGCACAAATAGTAAGAATCCACAGTGTGCTGTACAGCCTGTAGATCATAGCATGAAGCTGTACAGCTTGAGGAATGGGGGGGTGGGGGAGAAAACCTTTTGGTTGCTTTTCCTGAAGGAAGAGAGCCCTCTATTGGTTCTGTAGGAAAATTTAAAATGTACTGTAAAAGTTCAGTTGTGAGACTTCTGCTTGATCCATCCTTGTATGTTTGAAGTAATTCCTTCCAAAGAGCTTTAGGGATAGACTGTGGGATAGAACTGTGAAGTATGATAGAAAAGAAAAAAGAAAAGTGGTTAATGTGCCTCTACTCTGGGTTTTCCAACAGACACTCATCTGGTTTGTTCTCCCTCATTCCATATTGCTTGCCATTTGGTTCTTGAGAAAGGAAATTCTAGATTGTGGATCCAAGAAAAAGTTTTAATTATTTGATAATGTGATTTAGCAATCTAAGACCTGCCAGGCGGTGGTGGCACACGCTTTAATCCCAGCACTCAGGGAGGCAGAGGCAGGCGGATCTCTGAGTTCAAGACCAGCCTGGTCTATAAGAGCTACTTCCCGAAAAGCCTCCAAAGCCACAGAGAAACCCTGTCTCGAAGAATCTTCCTCCTGCTCCAAAAAAGAGGCAGAATCTGATGCTATAATCTGGTGTGTTATATCTTATGTATTTCCCACAAATGTACTTCTGTCATTCTGTCTGTCTTTATTATTATTTCTTAAAATTAAAAATAATCACTAGGTTTATTTTTTCTTACAAACTTTTTTTATTTCTTTTAGTGGATTATCAAACACCTTTACAGGAAAGTCAAATCATCACTGCCATGTGTCTGCATACGAAAAGTCATTTCCTATTAAGCCTGTCCCAAGTCCATCCTGGAGTGGTTCATGTCGTCGAAGTCTTTTAAGCCCTAAGAAAATTCAGAGGCGGCATTTCAGCACAGCAGAAGAGGTAAGGAGAAGCTGCAGCCAGACATGCTATAAGAGCAGCTAGGCCCCTTCATGGAGTGAGCTATTGTTGCTCTCACCCTTGTGCTTGTTAACCATTGCACTTACCTAATCCTCTGCTTTTTTCCCCTTTTCTAAATTAATTACTCTTTGAAATTTTGTCCTAAGTTCTAAAATGTTCAAAGAACATCATTTTTCCTACTAGCTTCTGTTCCTGTTGTTTCACAACCTTTCTGAACTGTTGTTTTCTTTAGTAAAACTGTAAACTTTGCTCAACAGTTTTGGCTTTAATAAAATTTGATTTGGTAGAACATCTACTCTTTTTCACTAGGAACAGCTTTCTTCAATATAAAAACAAATGCATGATAAAAAAGAAATTAGTTTTTAAAAAGCTAGTTAGGGGCTAGGGAGATAGTTTAGTCAGTGAAGTGATTTCCACCAAGTATCAGGACCTAAGTTCAATTGCCAGCACTCACCTAAAAAGCTAGATGTGGTGATACACGTTTATAATCCCAGTGCTGGGGAGGCAGAGACAGGCAGGTGCCTGGGGCTCATTGACGTAATCTACTTAGTGACTTCCAGGCTAGTGAAAGACCCTGTCTCAAAAACAAGACAAACAGCTTCTTGAACAACGCCTAGGGTCAACTATGGCTTGTACATGTATGTTTGCACATGATCCCATGCATGTGCATACCCATGAACACACACACACAGATTACTTTTTAAAGTCAGTTAAATTTATTGACCTCTTTGTTATGAGCAGGATCTTGGAGGTCATACTTTCTCAAAAGAAAGCTGTTCTGTTGACACTTGAGTTGTTCTTTTTACTCAGTGACCTAAAGGGTGAGATTGTGACTGTAATATAGCATGGAATTGGCAAAGCAAGAAGTATGTATCTGTTCAGTTACATATTTATTGAGCATCTTATTAGTTTTAAGTGGTTTCTGCAGAGATACAAATGAATACTGATGACCTTACATTTTTATAGCAGTGTTTTAATGTGCTTTCTATATATTAGTATATTAAATATTTGAATTCTTTTAACCCCTAGGTTAAAAGAACTAGGGAAAGGGAAAGGTGAGTTGGTATTCATACTTTACGGATATTGCAGGTCTAAAATGCAGGTCTTCTGAAGTTTCTGTGGAGTGCTTCCTTTCACACACATGGTCATGTGGTTCCTGCCCAGCTTTGCTTACAGTACAGAGTCAAGAACACAGCGTTACATTCTAGATGATTACAGAATTTGTTAATTGAAGATGGGTGACTATTTGAAAAATGATAAATGTTTAGTAAAGATGTGCTCTCCTAAGTTTTAAGTTTGTATTGAGCCTGAAATATCCAAGAGGAAAATGGCAGAATAATCATTTAATAGAGCAAAGACTGCACAAGAAACTGGAACATTTGCTATTGCTAATGGAGCTGAGCGACAAGGCTAACAGAGATTGATTTTGACAACAGTGGGGAATTACTATGGAGACTTGAGCCCAGAGCCTCAGCTGATCTCCACCCAGTACTTCATCTGTACTTCACCTTTTGTGTTATTGAATTTTGTACCAAGTATGTATTGATAAACACAGATACAGCTTTCCTTTTTGTTTTTGTTTTATTGAGTTTTCCTTCTCTTTCCCTTTTTGTTTTTGTTTTATTAAGGAGGTTTATTAAGGCCCAGGTTGGCCTTCAACTCATTGTATAGTTCAGCTTGGCCTCAAATTTTTTTTTTTGTTTTTTGTTTTGTTTTTCGAGACAGGGTTTCTCTGTGTAGCTTTGGAGCCTATCTTGGCACTTGCTCTGGAGACCAGGCTGGCCTTGGACTCACAGAGATCCACTTGGCTCTGCCTCCAGAGTGCTGGGATTAAAGGCGTGTGCCACCAACGCGTGGCCTCAAATTCTTGATCTTCATGCTTCAGCCTACCAAATGTTGGGATTGCAGGTGTGAGCTACCCTCCCTGGCTTAATTTCTTCTTAATTGCCAGATTTGAAGGGTTTGTTCTTATTCTAGAATGAGCTGTAGAAAGGCTATCTGGGAAGGAGAACCAGCAGCACAGCAATTGAGTAGAGGCTTCCCAGGAACCCCAGCGTCTAGCTGTAAGTTCTCTGTCAGCTTGTCACTTGCCAGCTGTCCCTTCCCAGCTTCCTTGCTTCCTGCCAGCTCCAGTGCCATCCCAAGGACTTGGGCTAACCAAGTCAGTTGTTTCTTGTTGTTTTGTTTTTGTTTTTCCTAGCTAACCTTTTAGGCCACAGACTGGGTGAATGGAGAGTATGGAGCTGCACTTCCCCTTCCTCTTGCAGCACAGTGAGATAGATGAGGGTTGATTCTCAGTTATTAAATGAGGTGTACAAAATTTTGTGTCAAAGGATTTTTGGTCTGTGTTCTCCAATTAAGCCACTTGTAGTCTAGAATAACCCATATGAGTATGATGAAATATTAGAACACCATTATCAAATGTTCAACAAATTGTGTATGAATTTAATTATGAATATTACCAGTAATGCAGACATAATGCTTTCTTCCTACTGGAGCTAGAGGTTTTGTTTTGTTTTGTCTTCTACAAAGCCCTGTTGTCATGGAACTAATTATGTAGGCTGTCCTCAACTCACTGAGATCTACTAGCCTTTGCCTCCCAAATTCTGGGATTAAAAGTGTGTGCCACCATGCCTAGCTGGAACTAGAGAATTTTTTATGGGAATTTACAAACTGTAAAAAAAATATTTTCATAGAAATGTTGGGATCTACAAAAAGAAAGTATTTGCTTAAGGTAAAGAAAGAAGATGATGTGTTAATATCTAATTAAGATTTGGGATGTTGGTGGCGCACGCCTTTAATCCCAGCACTCGGAAGGCAGAGGCAAGTGGCTCTCTGAGTTCGAGGCCAGCCTGGTCTCCAGAGCGAGCACCAGGATAGGCTCCAAAGCTACACAGAGAAACCCTGTCTTGAAAAACCAAAAAAAAAAAAAAGAAAACAAAACAAAACTTAAAACAAAAAGAATGGGGATTTGTCTTTGACCTTCTGGAATGTAATGCTGTGTACAAAATTGATGGTTCAGATACAACCACTGCTAGATTCAGTTTTAAAATGGGACTCTTAAGATAGGGGTTTTTAAAGGGGTTAAAAATATACAAGTTGTAACTGATTCCAAGGGCACCACTGAAGAGCTGTGTTATCTAGCACCATTCAAATTAATAACCTCAGCCACGTATGCACACTGTCAGCTTCACAGATGGAAGAGTTGTCTGTGCTACTGTAGACCTGTGTAGTACTGTAATAGAAAATGCAAGTGTTTGGGAAGGAGGAAGTGATGTAACAGTAAGAAATCTAAATAGTAGAAATGTAAGACAAGGGCCAGCAAGATGGCTCAGTGGGTAAAAGCACCCGTTGCCAAGCCTGATAACCTGAGTTCGATCCCTGGGACCCACGTGGTAGGAGAGAACCAACTCTTACAAATTGTCTCCAGGCCTTCACATATGTTCACTCCCGTGCTAAATAAATAAATGTGGAAGGAGATTTTTAAAAACCACAAATTGCCAGGCGTTGGTGGTGCACGCCTTTAATCCCAGCACTCGGAAGGCAGAAGCAGGCAGATCTCTGTGAGTTCGAGGCCAGCCTGGTCTCCAGAGCAAGTGCCAGGATAGGCTCCAAAGCTACACAGAGAAACCCTGTCTCAAAAAAACAAAATAATAATAATAAAATAAAACCCACAAATGTTTCTTTGTAGGTAGGTGCTGCTCTGGGCAGACAGTCCCCGAGCAGCACTCTGGGCTGGAGCATCAGGCTCGAGTGAGGGCACCTCCACTCTCCTCCTGTGTGACGTGATTGTTTCACCATGAACCAAACATTTTGCATTTAGCAGAAACGTTTTTTAACCATTTTGCTTTGCATATTTTTATATGTAAAGCTCTTAGATTATGCAAAATGGAATGGATACTGTGAAGTTATTCTAAATTACAATAATTTATAACAATAGATTATTAGCTTGCTGAAGTTCATTTTATGTTCTCTTTTGTTTTTATAGTCTTGCATTACAGTTTTAGGCTGTACTCTTACAGAAATGGCAGCTAATTTCGGGAGTTAATCACATCTTATTAATAGACTTCACTCTGTGTGAGTGTGTGATAAACATATGTGTACCATTCCAGTTTTCACCTTCAGAAAATCTCTTAATCACAATGAACTGTGTTCTTTTTAGAAACTGCATGCCATTAATTGTCTCGAACAACATTTTCATGTTGGCCAAGCTGCTTGAAACCAAAGTAAACCTTTTTTAAAGATGTGTATCTTTTCATCTCCTTAAATACTTCCTGTGTGATAGTCTCTATTCTGTATTAGTATGTATCCATTGTGCATAATAATAAATTTTATTGTGGCATTTTCATTCATGCATGTAAGTATTTGATCATATAAACTACTAGTTACTCTCTCTTGTTGGCTCCATTCCCCCGGTCCTCTTGCTCTGTCAGATTAGTTCATTGCCCCACCCTTTCCTTTTTCTTCTTGTTACTTTTTTTTTATACTTTGGTTCTTTTTTTAAAGATTTATTTATTTATTTATTTATTATTTATTTATTTATACAACATTCTGCTTCCATATATATCTGCACACCAGAAGAGGGCACCAGATCTCATAACGGATGGTTGTGAGCCACCATGTGGTTGCTGGGAATTGAACTCAGGACCTCTGGAAGAGCAGTTGGTGCTCTTAACCACTGAGCCATCTCTCCAGCCCTTCTTGTTACTTTTTTGAGACAAGGTCTCAAATGTGTATTCCTGAACTGCCTTACCACTTTGAAGCCCAGAGTGGCTTTTATTTGCTGCAGTCCTCCTGTCTCAGCCTCCAGAGTGGTAGAATTACAGGTGTGTGACTGTCTGACCCTGGGCTTTTGTTAGGAGACTTTGATTTGTGCTTCAGTATTATTATTGATCTGTTTAGGATGTTATTATACCTACCTCATTGTTCAGTTTTGTTAGATCATATCCAAAAATTTATACATTCCTTCTGGATTTTTCCAG